TACTCAGGCTTGTAATTCTAGCTTCTCAGGAGGCTAACACTTGAAGGATCACTGTTTGAAGCCAACCTAGGCAGAAAAGTTTACCAGACTCTATATTATTAACCAGCAATAGCTCCAGTTGAGAGGTGTGGCTCAAGTGGTAGGGTGACAAGCATGAACCAAAAAGCTGAGTGTAAGTGTGAGACCCTGAGTTCAAGCCCCCATGATAATTCTCTTCCTCCCCCCACCAAGGACAAAAAAACAAGACAAGAAACTCCATTGATTATTTGCCTCTGTTTGGAGGGAAATTTGAACCAACCATAGTCAATTACCTAGTATATATGTTCTAATGGGGCAACTAGGACTCAGGAATTGAGAGCTCCATTGTAAACTTATACTACAGTGCTGCTGGAATTCACTGATAAACCTAATGCAAACAGTGAGCTAGTTTCTGCCTATCATTTTGAGTCCATTTGTGTTCAAAGTAACTCACTTAGGAGACCAGTGGAGGAGTAGCTTAGTCACCACCAAATGACAGGTTCGTACTCTTAGTTCAATCCTTTTGTCTTCTAAACCACTTTGGTACCTCCAATGCATTAAATGGAACACATTGAGAACTATATTTGCCTAACACACAATAGCCTGGTTAAACAAGAGAGATGTAAAGTTGTATTTCTCTTGATCTCCAAACCTAGAAACATTATCACACTGGACCTCATTTCAGTTCTCTCCTTGTGTTAAAGCCATCAGCTAATTCTAGTTGCTGGCGACTAACCTGAGAAATGCAATAATGAATTGCTCCAGTTATGCTTTATTCATCAGGGAGGTGGTAGTCTACCTACAATCATTTCTAATGAGATGATCTTCCTACACAAAAAAACTTTTCGTGAAGCTTTGAATTCTGTATTCATCTGTCTTCTGCTATTGCCCAACCAGAGATAATTGGACAGGCAGATATAGATAGAACTTCTGTATAGTCACACAATGTGTAAATACGTAGGCAGTATAACCTAATCCCTTCCTTCCTTCCTTCCTTCCTTCCTTCCTCTTTCCTTCCTTCCTCCTTCCTTTCTTCCTCTTCTTTCCTTTTCTTCCTTTCTGGTACTGGAGATCAAACCCATGGTTTCACACATGCTAGACAAGTTATCTGCCACTGAGCTACATCCCTAGCCTGGTACAACTTTTTAAACTATAACATTCACATATAATTTTCCTACACAGAATTCCTTCTTTCATAGTAATGGTAACTGCCACCCTTTTGACTGCCTTTACTTCATTGCTAAGGCATATACTGGAAAGCTATCCCCAGAAAAAGCGTAGACATGGCACTGAGCATTATTTCAAAGATGAGTACAGATCCAGTGTATCAAAAGTTGTAGCTGACAAGCTCTGAGTCCTGGACCGTGGTTGTGGAAGGAGGGTCTTTTCAAGTGGGAGAGTTTCTGGCTTACAGCCCTGCCTTATACCAAAATTCAGAGATTCTTAAGATTTGTTGAAGTTTCTTGAGATTACCAATGCCATTACCTTCTTGCTATATTTAACTGTCATGTATTCTAGTCTACAATACCAAATAAGAAATCTGAGCAAATGTTTGAAGTGAATTCGATGTGTATTTTACCAAATGACAGAACACAAACCAGAAAACCAAGGGTAGAAAGTCCAGAAAATCCTTAAATGTCTTCTATCTTGCCTATTTCCATATAGAATACAGTCTGAACCAGAATTAATTCTTTCTAATCTATGTAATCAATAGCAAACAAATATGAGTGATGGACACTATTTTTTTCATTAGAAGTAAAAATAACTGCAATTTAAAAACTATTACAAAGCAATTTAAATAACATGGATGATGTGTTTCTAATAATAAAAAATTTAACCACAGCTTAGCTGTTGGGATATAAAACAGAGCTCTACAGAGAAATCTACAGAGAAATCATAGGAAATCTATGAGCTTATTTTAATTTGTAAGTATTACATTTAATACAACTGTCCCTTGGAATTTTGTGAATCCCAAGATCCATTGTGTTCAAGTCTCTTATAGAAAATGATGTACTATTTCCATATAACCTATGTACATTTTCCTGTATACTTTAAATCATCTCTAGATTAATTAGAATGTCTATTATCATGTAACTGTTATGTAAGTAGTTATACTTTATACTGTATTATTTAGGAAAATAATAGCAAAAGATAAAAATGACTGTATATGGTCAGATTGAATTAAAGTATTTTTAATTAATTTACTTTACTGTTATTATAGAGGTGATATAAAGACGGATTACTATTACATGAGTCAGGTAATGAGTTCATTTCCTTTCACACAGTGTATTCTGTTCCCTCACTCTTTTCCAGTCCCTTCCTCCTGCCTCCACCTATGAGTTATATAGTTTACTTTCATATGTGTCCAGTGAGCTCCACTTTTCAACTTTTTCTCTCATATTCTGTGCCCCCCTCCGCCCTCCTGAAGATATACATGTCAGTATACCATACAAAAACAAAAGAAGACAGAAACATCAAAAACTAAAAACTAGTAAGCCAGGCGCTGGTGGCTCATGTCTGTAATCCTAGCTACTCAGCAGGCTGAGAGCTGAGGATTGCAGTTCAAAGCCAACCCCCATGAGACTTTCAGCTCCAATAAACCACTAGAAAACCAGAAGTGGCATAGTGGCTTAAGTGGTAGAGTGCTAGCATTGAGATAAAGAGCTGAGGGACAGTGCCCAGGCCCAGAGTTCAAGCCCCATGACTGACAAAAAACTAAAAAAAAAAGTCCTTTTTCCCATATGTCCATCCCCAAGCTCCTAGAACTAATCAATCAAAGTATTTTTGTTATGTGACTCATTCATTCCCTGGATGCAGAAGCTGTCGATAACAAATAATAGGTAACTGCTAGAAAGCAGCTAAAACAAAGTGCTATGGAGGAGGACCTGTTTTCCAGTAAGAGCCAGAGAAAGGACTTGCATTTGGGGCTTGGGGAAGTTAGTGGTGCACCAGGGAGTCACTGAAGATTGCTAATCACTGGCTGAACATGGGGGTGTGCTGGATCACTTGGTCAAGACTGCTCCTTGTGGTCCATTGGGTTTTCAGGGCCCTTCTCCAGGCTTTACTGAAGAACTCATTAGAAATTGCCTGGGCATCCAGTGGGATCTATCTGTCCATGATGCTGCTCTGACATACTCATTAGGAGACAAACTACTTCTAGAAAAGCCATTCCTTGGGTAAAGCTTCCTCACATGTGGGTATTTTGATTAGTTAGGAAACAGTGCAAACAAATGGCAGTCAAATATTTGTTGGATCAATCTAATGTGTACATACACAAAATCTGTTTTATTTAAGTGTTAAGAGTGATAGCTTAATCCAGGCAGGGCACACACTATGCAAAGCATGGCTCACAACTAGGGTGTATCACTTAGGGGTACTGTATGTTCGGGGTGCAAGGTTATTGAAGACTAACTGCTACATTATGCAGTTATCATGAACAAATTCAGCAATGACAAATGTGGACACATGTTTATTATCTGAGCCAGGGTACCTTGGCCCTGCTATATCTTGTTTACAGACAGTTTACAACAGGTTTATATCTTCCAAGTTGAAATATTTATTTTTTATTCGTATATAGGAATATTTAGAATAAGTTCCTTGAGACAAACACTTAAAAACAGAGAAGAAAATAATGGAAAAAAGTTACAGTACACATTTTTCCACTAAAGGAAAAAAAGCATGTAAACATGCACCAGAAACCTTAAGGAAACCTTCATTTCTAGCAAACAAGCACAAAGCTCTACACAACATAAACTGTGCTGCCAGACATTCACAAACTCCTAACAAAACTGTACAATTTCCTGAGAAAGAAACATACAAGCTGCTTCAGGATGTGGGTAAGACATGTTCCTGTGGTAACCATTTCCCAAGCAAGAAAAGAAGGTAAAAATACAAATCTTTGCTAAGCTGTAGCCTACCAGGCCTTTTCATTTACAAAAACAAAAACAACCTGTAGGGATATTAAGCTGTTTAAGTAATACCAAAGAAACAAATCAATATCAACCCTTACAACATTCTTCCCAGTTTTCCCAATCCAACCTTTCCTCTGTTCCCTAGTTTCACTTTTCACATATGTATATTGAGTATTAAACATCTTCAATTCTAAGGGTAGGAGGGAGTGATATGGGGAGCGGTGAGTGGTGAAAGAAATGCATTATTTTATAACAATAAAATGAGGCAATTATATCATTATTATTGCCATTTCATAAGTTTGGAAACCATAACTTTTAGTACATGAGAGAGTAATCACTTGGGGTGATTAATCACTATTTGGCAGTGCCAGTAATGGATCTGTGGTCTGTCTAATCTCAAAGGCTTCTGACAGCTGTTGTGTAGAGCACAGTGTGCACTTCCATCTCCTTACATGCTTACCATTTCTTTGTGCTGGGAACCTTCCAATTGTTACACACACATACAAACACACACACGTACGTATATAGAATATATGTATGTTAAACATCACAATTATTTTATTTTCAAAATAAAATAATTTTGATTGAACAAAACATAAAAATGTATTTGGTCTAAAATGCTTTGCTCTATTTTCAATAAAAATTCAAAATTATGATACTGATCAAATCTTAACTTGTACCTGTTCCATTTTGCTCATAAAAATAATACCTTATTTACAAAGATACAGCAAGATACCTCATAACAATGGTCTTTGAATCAAAGGTATCGAGTTCATACAATGAAAATGCTAATGGAGAATTAAAAAAAATTGGATATCTATCTGCCCAGTGTATTATATGTGATTAGTTTTAGATTGTTCTTACGTTCTTTGGGAAAACATAACAGATTGCAAATAACAGATAACATATTACAGATGCTTAAAACATACAAAGCACTATAAATATAAATAAACTCAATATAAAATACAAATATATTAGGTAGAACTGAAATAAAATAGTATTACAAAATTAATGGTAAAGAGAAAAGAATTTATTATGTTGCATTCTCTCTAATTCCATATCTTTATGTACCTTGTATTCTTCATAGTCATTGCTATCTAGCAGGTTTCTTTTCTCCAGTTCTATGAGTTCTCCTGAAGAAGACCTAGGGAGCCCAGGCCTGACTTGTTCATATATGGGCTTTCCATTAAAAAACAGTTCCTTCCAGTCATGCATCATCTTATATGGAATCAGACTATTGCAAAAAAAATAAGAAATGAGTCAATGCTTAGTAAAATACATACTTTAATCCTTGATCATCTTACTCTTATATATTTGACTGATTTTCTTCAGACAATTAGAAACACATACTTAGAAATTATTTTGCAGGTTAACATTTGTGCAATAATAGTGATTGGTATTAGATAGATGATAATTTTTTGTTGAAAATTACACATAAGTAAACCAACTGTTATCTTAAAGAAACCTTGGGAAGCAATCCATCTATTCATTGTGCATAGGAGAATACCAATGCTAGAACACTTAATGTTTCATAGTCATTTCATCTCAGTATAGAAATTTGAGCATGGTCATTAGTTTTAGATATATTGTTCTGTTATAGCACAGGCAATAACAAAGTTTGAAGAACTAGTGGTACTAAGTGACTTGTTTTCATTCAAACCAGCTAAGTTCCAGATAGTTCACATGGGACATGATACAAATGTAAATCCTTGTTTTATCTAAAACAAAATCTCTAGAGAAACAGCCAACAAGAACTGCACAAATTATCTATCTATCTATCTATCTATCTATCTATCTATCTATCTATCTATCTATGAGATTTGAGTGAGAAGTTTGCAATAAGGATACATATATATGATTTCACTTTAATTTATTGGTTCAAGGCAATTTTCTATAAAGAAATGACTCCGAAGCTGAATCCTAAAATATAACTAAGAGGCAACCAGGATAGATTGACCTAGAAAATAGTTACAGGAGGAAAAACAGTGTGTGAAAGAGAAAACCTAATAATTATTCAGCAACATCTCTAAAAGCAGTTGGTCTAGAATTTGAAATCATAACTTAAATCAGTACACCATGAAACATGCTATAACTTGCATATAGACCTTAAAGAGATTATTCTAAGTGAATAATCCAGCCTCAAAAGGACAAATATTTGGAAGTGGTACTGTGGCTCAAGTGGTAGAGAACTAGCCTTGAGCTGAAGAGCTGAGGGACAGCGCCCAGGCCCAGAGTCCAAGCCCCATGACTGACAAAAAAAGGACAAATATTGTGTGATTTCATTTAAATAAGATATCTAGCAACATATACTCATAAAGTAAAACAGAAACCACCTGGGGCAGAGAGAAAGATGGGGATGTGGGGATCCAGTATCTAATGAGTACAGACTCAACAAACTTTCTTGATTAAAGGGCTGTGGGATTTGACCAGTGATGATTCTCATAGTCACACACCTTGTTTCCTTTCTTTATCCATCACTATCACAAGGCTTAAAAACTAAAATTGTCCACATCCTTAGAACTTTTTAACATTCAGTAATGATTCTACTAGCACATTTTTAGCGGTTCCTTGCCTTTGTGATTGCAATCTATTAAAGTAGACCAAATACTTGAAAAATATTAGAAAAATTAAAAAAACAGCCATCTAACCTGTACTTTAAAATTCTTACATATAAAGATGGAAGGATAAAATCAGGTAAAATGGCAAATAGTTTCCACACTTTTACAGAAATCGGTCTCCTTGTTCTCATTCCTGATTCTTGTTCTCTTCAAAACTTTGCCTTCCTGCTCCCCATCTAATAATATGCTAAGGTTCCTGAATACCAAAACCACCTGCTGTGGCTTCTGCAGCCTGAATGTCCTCCTCTCTTCTTGTCTGGAATTCCTAATATCTCTGAATATGTGTGGCTAACATTTTCCCCAGAGATCCAAATTCTATCAGTGCACCTCAAATCAGCCTGGTCTGATAAAGCAATTATTAATTCAAAATAAAACAAACGAGTAATAAATACTATCGTATTGAAAAGGGCCTCTTTAAAAGCTTACTCTGTCATTCTATTTAAGAATGAACTTCTTAACATTAAATATCTTTGCCTGAAGGTTCAGCTATGTAGTCTGTTTTTATCCAAATGGTCTCTGAAGCACTAGTGGTATTAAGAACCTTGCATTCATCCAAATTAACTAAGTTCCAGAGAATTCATGGCTACTAGAACATAATACAAATGTAATTACATGTTTCTCTTTAAACAACAAACCCTAGGCAAGATGCCAACAAAAACTGCACAAATATATGCTATTTGTGTTTTATTCTATTGTTATTTAAGCATACTTTGTTTGAATTAATTTTTTAGATAATTATAAATTCAGGAAAAGAGATAATAGAGACATGTGCCCTTTACCCAGTGACCTCTAATCATAACATTTTATAAAACTAGAATTTGCTATCAGAATCAAGATTTGACTTAGATACAATTAAGATAAAGAATATTTTCATTACCACAGAACCTCTCACCTCTTTCTTTTACATAAGTACTTACTTCCCTCTTCCTTCCTAACTCACAATCCCTGACAATTGCTAATCTGGTTCACTTATTAAAAAAATTAATTCTGTCACTTCAAGAATATGATGCTGCTGTAGTAGGACACACTTCTAATTTCAGTACCCAGGCAATTGGATTTAGAGTTCTAAGTGAATCTGGTTACACATCAAGAATTTGTCTCAAAAGTGTTATGTAAGTGGATCATATAGCATGCATAATTATACCTACATTGTACCACGTATCAATAGTTTAAACTTTTTTATTACTCAGTGGTATTCCACAATATGTATATATCATAGGTTAACCATCACTTGTTGAAGGACATAAGGCTTCTATAAAGTCTGTGTATAGGTGTTTGTGTGGCCATAGTCTTACATTACTCTTAAGAAATGTCTATTTGTTACATGGAGATTGCATTTTTAGCTTTTTAGGAACTTGCCAGTGTTTTCCAGAGGGGATGTCCCATTTCATATTCTCAAAAGCAATAGCTTCTCATATCATTTCCATAATTTGGTGATGTTATTCCTTTTCAATATTGTAACTGGAGAAGAGTGATAACTCACTGTGTTTCCAAATTGAATTTCTCTAATATCTAATGATGAACATTTTCATGATTTGGTTTAATCATCTGCATATCTCTTTCAGTGAAATGTCTTTTCATGTCTTAGGTCCATTATTAAACTCAATTGTTTATTTATTTTTGAACTGTTATGGTTGAGTGTATTTATTTGAAACAACAGTCCTCTGTTGTCCATGTGCTTTGCAGCTATTCTCTCCAACGCTGTATAACTTCTAATCCTCTGCTTTGCAAAAGCTTCCATTATGTCAAGGTTGAATTTATCTATAAACTTTTAATCTGTTGCTAAAGCAAAAGTTTTGATCTTAATGAAGTCCAATTTGCTAACTCTTCTTTCATGGATCATACTTTTAGGGTCTGAAAACTCTTGCCTTGTTATAAAAAACATCAATTTCCTATTTTAAAACAAGCTATATAGTTTTATGGATTCATTTTAAATTAACTTTTATACAGTATGTGAGTGAATCAATGATCCTTTTAAGTTTTTTATTTTTATTTTTTGCCTATACAAAACCAATTGTTACAGCATCATAGTGTAATGCTTATCTTTCCTTCAAACAGCTTTTGAATCTTTGTCAAAAATCACGTCGGCATTTCTTTAAGGGTCTGTTTTTGAATCTCTATTACATTCTATTTGTCTTTGTTGCCTTTCCTTCTGTCAACATCACTTATTGATTATTACAGTTATTCATAAATCATAAAACTAGGTTAAGTGATTCCTCCCAGTTTGTTTTTCGTTTCCAAATGTTTTAACTAGATTAATTACTTTTCTTTGCATGTGAATGTTAGAATATACTTGTGTCTATCTATGAAAATTTTTATTGGGTTTTAGATAGGAATTGATTATATATCTGTATTAATTTTGGTAGAGGTGACATCTTTTTCAATTCATGAACTCAGTGTTTCTCTACATTCATCATATTTATACCATCAATTTTTGTCAATATTATATAGTTTCCTACAGAAAAATTGTATACATATTATGTTAGATTCCTCACTAAAGATTCTTTGCATTTAAAAACAACTTTAACAAGTAACTGTATATACTTGGAGTTACAATGGGATTTTTGCATATTACAGTGTATTGATCAAATCACAGTAATTAGTGTCTCCATCTCCTCGTATTTTTTTGGGGGGGGGGGGTCCGGTAGTGGGGCTTGAACTCTGGGCCTGGGCACTGTCCCTCAGCTCTTCAGCTCAAGGCTAGCACTCTACCACTCGAGCCACAGTGCCACTTCTGGCTTTTTTCTTTTTGCTTATGTGGCGCTGAGGAATTGAACCCAGGGCCTCAGGCATGCAAGGCAAGCGCTCCACCACTGAGCCACCTTCCCAGCCCCCATCTCCTCGTATTTCTTATGTGGAGACTTGTGTGTTGTTAAGCAATTGTGTCATTATATTTATTATTTTTATTGTTATTATTTTATCTTTAAGTAGTTGTACAAAGGAGCTGCCATTCAACAAAGTAGCTCACGAATATAATGCATCTTGATTAATTTTTTTCAAGTTTCAATCATTTAATTAATTAATGCCTTTAAATGAAACATAGCTTTTTCATGTGTCTCACTCAAGCTTCAGGGAAAAGAGAATGAATTGTTGTATAGACATATCAAAGACTCAGAAATTTAAAGAAATATATATATATATATATATATGTGTGTGTGTGTGTATTTATGTCTTCTAACATTTTTGCACAAATTAAAAATCGGGCTTTTGGTCTCCATTTGCACTAGGTCAAGCTCATTTTAGCTTGAAGACAAAGTATTGCCTCTTCTAGATTCATGATTCTCCTTTGTACTCATTTCTTAATTATATAGGATATGCATTGAATTTTATGACTGTATTATATCCTTAATCTTTATAAATGATATGCATGTTTATCTTGCATCCTGTTGAACTTTCTGGTCTCAGTTTTAGGTGTTGTATTATAGATTCTCTGTTGTTTTCTAAATGAACTCTCATGCCATTTGAAAATAGAGCAACGTTTTATTTCCTTACCTCTGTCTGATTGGTTTGTCTTTGATTCCCTTGTGTTGTGGCATTGTGTAGTACTTGGAGTACTATACTGGAGGAAAGAGCATGTTTTCCTTCTCTCCAATCTTAGGTGAAAGTGAGCCAGTGTATAGTGTCCACTGCAGATGCTATTTGGAAAGGGCAGAAGGTTTCTTCTCTATTTCTCTTTTGAGAGAGCATTTATTATGAATAGATGTCTGAACTGGGTAAATGATTTTCTGTGTTGATTCACATAGGTATGCAGGTTTTGAGTCTGTTAATATGCATTGATTGATTTTTGAATCATCATTTCCTTCCTAGAGTACATTCAACTTAGCACATACTTCTTATCAGTCAAATTCTACTACTTAATTTTTCATTACAACCTTCTTGCGTCTGTGTATATAAGAAATTTCTGGGTTTCCTTTATTGTTTCTGGTTTTTCTTTTGATATTGGTTTAATCTGGCATCAGGATAATATTGCTACATAAAATAAACTGGGGAAGTGTGCTTTCTTTTCTATTTTCTAGAGGCCTTTGTTTACTAAGAACATATGCCAGTGGACCCTGCTGGGTGGGACAAGATTTTCTTTGGGAGATTTGTTAAATTACAAATTCAATACTCAATATAAAGCTAAACCTGAGAAACACCAATTTCATTATATCATTAGTAGTAGTTTGTGTTTTGTTTATAGGAATTGAACCTTTTCTTTCAAGTTGACACATTTAAGTGTGCTCAGTTATGCATACTATTTTCTTATTAGCCTTTTTTTAAAAAAAGGGCCAACGGGCATATCCTCAACTTTCTTCTTGATACCAATAATTTCTATCATCTCTGTTTTTTGGTTGTCTTACTAGTGTGTTTTTCGGAGCTATTAATCTTTTTAAAAAGTCAGTTCTTTGCTTCTATCAAATTTTCTACACTTTTTGTTCATATGCTTATTTTTAATTTTATTTATAGACCACTTCATTGCATTTTCCCTTTCTTCTTTGTATTTATTTTTTTCTTCTTATTCTAGATTCCTGATATGGGGGCTTAGATGATTGATTTAAAACTTTTCTTAATTTCTGCTAGCAGCCTTTCTGCTATGCCCTCAAAATTTTGATACTTTGTGTTTCTATTTTCATTCAGTCAAATGCACTTTTAATTTCCCTTGAGCATTCTTCTTTCATCCAATATTTATTTAGAAGTGTATTCCTTAGTTTCCTTATGTTTGGAGATTTTTTTTCTCCTTACATTATTGTTTTGATTCCACTGTGGTCAAAGGACATAATACTTTCTGACATGAGGTATTTTTAATTTGCTCAGGTTGTATATGGTCTATCTTGCAATAAGTTCATGTATACTCTGTGATGTGTTTATAATGTTGATTCTGATTGGTTGGGTATTGATTTTCTTCTATATCCTAGTTGGTTTTCTAATTGCCTACAATTGTCTAAGTCTCCAATTACAATTATGGATCTTTCCATTTGCATACAGTTCTACCCATTTTTCTTATATATAGTTTATAGTTCTGTTTTTTCCTTGATGCATTGACTCTTTTATATCATTTAATGTCCCTCTTTGTGTCAAGATTATCTTTGCTCTGCAGCCTACTTTACTTGATATCAATATAATCACACATCCATTCTTTTGATTGTTTGCATGTTAGGAACTTTTCCATTATTTTACCCTCAACCTGCTTATATCATATTTAAGTGAGTTTTTCATAGACAGCATATAGTTTGATCACATTTTAAAACCCACTCTTTCAAACTCTATACTCTAACTGGTATATTTAGAGATATAATTACTATATTAGGGTTTAACTCTATCATTTTCATTTTGTTTTGTGGGACCTTTTGTTTTCCTGCCATCATATTATGTAAATGATTAATTTCTTTTTTAATTTAATCTATCTATAGTGTTTTAGAATGTATCTCTTTTGCTGGGCATTATTCCATCTATTACTATCAGAATGATACCAGTTTCCTTTAGATTCCTTTACTTTTATCTATTTATACAATAACTCTTAAATATTTCCTTTCTATACATTCAGAACTCCATCAAACAATGTTAGCAATTTTGCTTCAACTGCTAAACTGCCTTCACAAAATGCAAAAGAAATTCTATTGTGCATTTTGCACACTGCGTATTTCCTCCTTTCTGATTTCTTGTTTTGAAAAGTAACTTTATTTCTGTTTACAGAACATTCCTCAGCCGTTCATTCAAAGGTAAATATGCTGCCACCAAATTTTCTTTGTTACCACAATTGCAATACTGACTTCTGCTTCATTTATGAAGTGTATTTCCACTGAGTACAGGACCCTGGGTTGAGAGGTCTTTCTTCCAGCAACTAAAAAGTACTGTAAACCTTCCTTCTGGTCTCCAGGGTTTCTGAGGAGAAATCTTCTGTCATTTAAATTAGTTTACTCTTAAAGATAACTGTTGTAATCTCCTGAGTGTTTTGATGAGGTTTTCTTTTTCAATTTTCAGAAATTTAATTATAATGTGTTTTCTCATGGAAAACAGACTAACAGAGCATGAATGACCAGTCCCCAAGGCTCTGTTAATTATTTTCAGTCTAATTACTCCTTTTTATATTCAGATGGGGCAATTTCTGTAATTCTATTTTTTTAATTTTACTTAAATATCTTTTTTAATTTGCCATTAAGCCCAACCCTGAACTCTTTCTTTTGGTTATTGTGTTTTTCAATCATAAAATTGCCATTTGTTTCTTGTTTATCTTGGGTCTTTGCTATGACTAAAGTTTTGAGTAAAGCCAATTTCTCTCTGTGTCAGATGTGTTTATAATTGTTCCTCAAAGCATTTGGCCATGGATGCTTTTCATGAAAAGAAGGCCCTGCCATTCTTAAGTGGAGTCCATGCTTCCTCCTTAATTATTTCAGTCACTATCTTGGAAGCTGCACTGGAGTCTCCTTGCTGCAGCTCTGAGAGGATGGGAGATGAGGTATCCTGCCTGACCTTTTTCGGTATTAGTAGATGTGAAGTTACTCTTTTAATCTGTATATCTGAACATAATTGAGCAGTCATTCTCTAAAAATTTTCTATTCTGTTATTATCTAAAAGGTTTTTATCCTGTTAGCCTGTCCCTTCTCTGAGCAATCTGTTCCAGTGATGTATCTGCTGCTAGAATATTCAGGTCTGACTTGGATTATCAGAAGCCAAAAGAAAACCCAAGAAGCATACCACTATTTCTCATCCTGAAGACTAGTCACCTATCTCTCTAGCTATCAGTCTTACCATCTGTGTTTCATAATATCCAGGGGTTTGTTGTCACTAGTAGAAGGAATACAGATACATTTCATTTGTTCCCTTGTTTCAGAAAAGAATGAGATTTGCTTTTAAGTATTAATTTTAAATTTCAGGCCCTTATTCAGTTAAATAAACCAGTCTGCTCTATTTTGTACTTCTTGGCTTTTTTGTAATTTACTCTATTGTTAGTTTTCTGTAATTTAGTCTATCATTGACTTTTCCTTTTAGAATCTTTTTATGAAGATCTCTGTGTGAACTTCTTCATAACTGTGCTTTTATAATTTTGGGGTATTTAGAATTATATGAACCTAAAAAGCATCTTTATACCTTCATACTTTTCACGATGTTTTTATTCTTTGGTGTAAATTATTTGATTTTACAGCTTAATAGTTTTATCTTCAAAATGTCCTCTGATATTTCATTTAAATGAGTTTATATGGCAATGGTCTAGACACTGGCCATAGGAGAAGGACAAAAATCCTTTTTAACAAGCCGGGGTGAGCACATGTTTTCTCTATCTATCTCCTGCCTTTGAACCCTATAAGCCATTTGGCTTTTATTCCTTTCATGGCAAGTTCTTGAGAAGACCTCATCCTGGGAGGCTTGAGGGCTAGAGTTGTTCTGATGGAATGGCTTTCACTTAGGTCTTCTGAAGTGTCATTCTATTCAAATTTGCAGCAAAGGACACCACAAGAAATAGACCTAGGAACCATTTATTAAATTTGCTTGCAAGAGTGCTGAGGACTTTCCCTACTAGATCAGCTGCACTGAGCCATTTATTTCCTGAAATCACATGAGAAAATGGGGGTTTTAAACCAGACAACAAAAACTTTATATTTTGTAGGTGTCTGGGATAGAAATGGAACTAATGTGACAGTTTGCATTTCCTTTTGTCCTTTGCCAAATAGCAAGCTCAGCTGCATTACCTCAGAAATCTATTGACGCTTATATAATTGTGTTTCAATTTATTCCGTATTCTTTTATTTCATTATTTAGAGAATACTGTATTGATGACTATAATCAAGGCCACATAGATAAAATTGTACATATTTATGATTCCTTATTCATAACATCCTGTCTTAATTTCAATTTTCCTTGCTTATTATGTTGGCTTATTCAGTTTAGAAATATTTTTTGGTATTTCCTTGCAAATATATTGATTCCTCCCAGATAAAATGAAATGAAAATACATCATTTAGTTGTAAATCAGATGATTTACTGTTCTGGAAGTTCCAATTATTTCAAATAAATTATTATAAATGTATTCATAAATCACAAATGATTTAGATACAATTTTTTAAATGGAGAAAGACACAGATGCACCTGAAATAATGCTAGCTGGTAGGTGAATCAACTCAGTAAGCACAATCTCCTATACTACTTCTTAGAACTTGTTTTCTCATGAAATTCTTTTACCTCCTTTAGAATCCTTCAATCTACCTTGTAATCCTACCTTATTCATTGTCTGAGGTATTTCCACACCACATTAGCTTTACTCACTTATTTGTCAGCATCCGGTAGTCTGCCACTTTAGTGGACAAATCAAGTATTTGATCCAAAATTTCTCCACAAATTGTATAATGCTTCTCATAACGAGCCTGAGCCCTTTCTACAGCAATCTTCTCATGAATTTCCTTTTCTCTGAAGATTTGTTCTTCAAAATCAATTTTGGCTTGTTTTGCCAGAGCCTGATAATGCAAAAACATATTTTTAAGTCATAATTGTCTGAAAGTGGAAGAAATACAGTCATAAAATTCAATGCAGAGTCCACAAACTTAAAAAAAAACTGAGGGAAAGTGTGGGGTTGGAAAGGATAGGGGAGAATATTGATCAAGATGCCCTGTATTCATAAACTGTTGTTTTTTTTTTTCTGCTGCTCATGAGGTCTGAACTCTAGGCCTAGGCGCTGTCCCCTCAGCTCTTCAACTCAAGGCTAGCACTCTACCACTTGAGCCACAGCACCACTTCCGGCTGTTCTGCTTATGTGTTTCTGAGGAATCAAACCCAGGACCTCATGCATGCAAGGCAAGCACTACCACTGAACCACCTTCTCAGCCCAATGTATTCATGAACTTTGTTGAATGGAAAAATCCTTTGTGTAACTACTTAAAGGTAATGGAAACAAAAAAGAAAATGATGCTAAAAGTGAATAGCCAAAAAAAGCCTTTAAAACAACTACATTAAGTACTGAGTATGATGGCAAACACAATATGGGGAATATTCCACCTTTACTTTATCAACCAAGCACAACATGGTAGTCTTGACTGACCAAAGAAGAAAACAGTAACTTAGAAACAGAAACAAAGAAAGAAAACAGTCACAAATCACAGAGAAATTGACAAGTCTGTGCCAAATTGTACAATAGCTCATCACCACATGGGAGCCCTTACCGGGGCACCTCTGCTATGACCACTACTATTGGTGTCTTCAGTGTAGGAAGCCCACGATTCTGGTCTATACTTAGAAACTACTTTGAAATACCCTGATTTTACTAGTGTGAGATCATCATACATTAGAAACAAATATGAAAGGTGTTAACCCCATATTGTTAGTTTTAATAAATTGATAACCCTCGTTTTTAGAAACATCTACTTCTGCAGAAAATAATGAAATATTTAGCATTTATGATTAAATTAAATACACAAAAAAGAAAGTAATAAAATATTTAAATGGTTATTCATAACTTCTGCTTGGACAGTACTGCCATTTTGTTTTCAGAACCTTTTTTGTATACTAAATTTAGCCTCCTATCATGATGAATAACACAATACTCAGTGAATGGGATTTCAGTGATCAAATGTGGCTTTACAGAAAGCTGTGGCAAGCTTAAGCAATCCATCATGTGCTAGCTTGCCCTAGAATTTAGACTTGGTCAATGAAACTTGATCCAATCAGTAAAAAACACAAGTAAAACTTGACTTTACAAGTTCTGTGGTCAAATTCAAGCTCTTCCTTGTGTGTAATTTAAATTCAAACTATGAGAAATTGGGCAAATTGTTCAGCTTCTTTAAGCCCCAGTTTCCTCAAAGTGGGGATATTAATAATTCTTAGCATTCAGAGAAAAATTAACCCAATTATCTTCTGAGAATAAGTATTTTGTATCACACCATTTTTTTTTTGGTTGTGGGGCTTGAACTCTGGGCCTGAGTGCTGTCCCTCAGCTCTTCAGCTCCAGGCAAGCGCTCTACCACTTGAGCTACAGCACCACTTCCAGTTTTCTAGTGGTTTATTGGAGGTAAGAGACCTTTCCTGCCCGGGCTGGCTTTGAACCGTGATCCTTAGATCTCAGCCTCCTGAGTAGCTAGGATTACAGGTGTGAGCCGCCAGCACCCAGCTTATCACACCATTCTTAAATGATTACATGTCTGACAGTAGGCTTCTATGTAAGGTTTATTATTATTATTTTGCTGCTGTTGCTGCTGCTTATTTTTACAAGCTTATTTTATTTTTTTAACAGGCAACTGGTTGGGTTACATGACTTGTAAGTCAACTCAATATATTTCACAGAGTCCAGAATTACACAAGAATTTACCATTCTTGAACTGTTTTTATTTTCATGGGTAAAGAATATAAGTTAGGTGCAAAGCTTTACGGAATGTTTCATGAAATGTGAGGAGGAAAAAATGAACTTAAGACACCAGGAATATTAGAGCATTCATTATGGAGACAGTGAAAGAAAAATTGATCATTAGTTTGGTTTGCTACGGAGCCAGTGAAATATGTGGAAATTTTTGGGATGTGATAGAACCAAAGCTTTGAGAAGAATGAAATGGCCATATCAATAACAGAACAGCTTTCAATTTTGCTTGTTGTTATCGTCTGTCTCCCTCCTGCCATACTTTCACTCATCTCCTCCTTCCTCCCATGTAGAAAACTATATCAAATGAACTGCTAGAGCTATTCAGTCTTCTCATTCTTTTCTACCTACTATCAACTTGGCTCAACTCACCACAATTTCCTGTCTTCTTACATTAAAGTTGGCTGTAGTCTACATTAGAAAGGAGGAAAGGAAAAGGAAGCCCGTGGGAGGTAATCAATCTCCGGGATTGTGAGCTTGCCCTCTTGAGTTTCATAGAACAGGCCTTGCTCTTGCTGTGGAATTGATAAACTGGAACTCCTTAAGTGTTCTAAGCTTCATTTTCCTTGTACTTAAAATGCACATAAGGAAGTGTCTAATTGTGGCTATTGCAAGGATTTCATATGCATGCAATAAGCATAGGTAATGATTGGCTCAAAGAAAATGCTACAAAAAGTTTTTAAACTGGATTGTAGTTAAATAGTACTGATACAAGTTGATGGCACATAATTTGGGGACCTGGAATTGTCTTAATGGAGAGTGGCTTCCCAATTGCCATGAAGTAAGAGATTAGTAGATTTAATCTAGAAATTAAACAAATTAAAAAATAATCTCTTCAGTGTAAAAAACACAAAGTTCTCCCATTTCCTTACCTCACTAGTTTGTTTGTTTGTTTTTCCTTTTTCTTTGAACTGTGACAGATGCAGGATTAAGCCTTGGGAAACAGTGACCAGAAGCAAACTGCTCACTCCTGATCTTTCATGCTAATTGGGATATGCAAAGTCAAAAAGCCACAGGAATAAATGACTAATTGGCAGTGCATGTCAAGTGGCCCTAGATCTAAAATGAAGGTAGGGAGCTTACACAACAGGGAACCCTGATGTAGACAAGACATGACATTTGTAAAGAGCTCTGAAAGATGAATATTAGCTGGATAAGGGCACAGGGCCGGAAGAAGAAAGATGCAAGAAATGCCTCATTTGGGGATCTGGAAAGAGCTAGGAGATGGAGGGATATGTTGTTGGTGGGAAACTAAGGATGGGATTCCAGACAGGATGGCAGCTATCAAACCAGAGTTCAAAAGATTCTCTTGCACATAGAATGGATTGGAGAGGAACCAGACTTTGGCAGCGGGGCACCATTCTCAATGACATTGCATTCTTAGAGTATCCAGGTAAATGAATAATTCTGATCGAAAGAAAAGAGGAATGCTATATGGATCTCAGAAATATTATCTAGTAGAAAGCAGAAAAATTTTAAATTAAAAACCTCACAGTGCCTTGTTGAAACAGTGTAAAAGCTATCACTAGCTGAGACTATTCACCTAGCATAAGCAACATCAGTGTTTAGCTAGTAAGACTAACAGACTTTAGAGAAAAGGAAAGTCCTTTGGGCATTTGTGGAAAAAAGAAAGTCATGATTCAAAGAAATGAATAGGAACATAGGAAAGGATTAGACAATCATCAGGGTTTTTTTTTTTAACAGCATTATATTATGCCTGAAGAAATAGTGACATATTTCAGATAAGCAAAGTAAGAAAAGTCAAACCAAGTATGTTATTACTAACAAAATGGACAGTAGAGGAGGTACAGTCTATTATCAAACTAGAAGAACTCAGGGAATATTGTTGTGTATAGGTCTTTCCTGGGGAATTATCTGGAAAACAAGCACCATAATCCATGAGACACATGAATACAGGACTGATGGGGAACATTACCAGCTTAGGTACTAGGAGAATCAAGACTAAAGGAAGAAAGTGTCATGTAATTATGAAGAAATAAAAAAATGGGAAGATAGTAGGCAGATCACACAAGAAATGAATTCTTCTTAAGCAATAGATAACAAAAGACAGCTTTGCTTCACAGAAAGTTTTAAAAAGGACCCCAGGAAGATTTTTAAGGGAGATTTGGCTTACCGCTTCTCGATCAAGAGCATCCTGGAAATCTTTGAGACGTCTTTCTTCATATTGTTTTTCCCTGAAAATTCTGTTCTGCCACAAAACTTCCTTTTCATGCCTAGCATGCATGAGCTGAACAGCAATCCTGCGTTCCTGCTGGGACTGGCGCATCAACCGGTGAATCAACTGCTCCTCTCGATAGGCTTCCTGTGAAACCAAAGCCAATGATTCCTCAAAGCCAAGTCCAGATTCCCCAATAGGCTAACAGATCTACCCACAAATACTCTATAAAAGGCATCAAATTTACCTAAAACAACTTTTGTTACTTGATTTCAACCTGAACATGTCAAAAACACAAGCTGAAAAAAAAATTCCCAACAGATGCTGCATAATTTTAGTATTTAGAAACAATATGGTCTTGAAACTTACAATTAACTTAAATGAATTTTACCCTTAAAATATGATCAAAATATTATCCTAGATGTATACTAATTATTGAAAATAAGGGAAACCATGGGACTTATTTTCTTTGGGTCTGGCTTACTTCACTTAATATGATTTTTTTCCAAGTCTTTCCATCTTTCCATTTCCTTACAAATAGGGAAGTGTCATTCTTTCTGATGGAAGTATAGAATTCCATTGTGTGCGTGTGTACATACCACATTTTCTTGATCCATTCATCTACTGAGGGGCATATCAGGGTTGGTTCCATATCTTAGCTATGAGCTCAATAGCTATGTACATATGACCATATAAGATGATGCTAAGCACAATGAACTCCAAGACACAGAGACAAGAGGTTTTTCTTTGTTGTTTTTAATGTACTATGTGATTTTTTGTTTCTTTTGTATGTTCTTCCCCCTATAGTATATCTCCTGTTGTCACTGTATTTAATTTTTGTACACTGGTATTGTATGTATATATATATATATATATATATATATATATATATACACACACACACACACATACGTTTATTTGAATTAGAGAAGGGGAATAACAGAATGGTGAAACAAGGGACAAGGTGGGAACTAATGCCACAGTGATATACACAAGAATATATGTTGGAAATGATCTGTACAACAAGGATCTGAGCGGTGGAGGGGAGAGAAAATAGGAGAAAAATGAGGGAAGGGGTAACAAGTTTGACAAAACAATGTACATATTACCTTACTTATGTAACTGTAACCCTTCTGTATATCATCTTGACAATAAAAAATGCATGCCAAAAATATGATCAAAATAAATTAGACATTCTCTTCAAAGTTTTTGTTTAAATCACTGACAAAATTGTTTAATTATAAGGATGTTTTCAGCTGGTTGGAAATATGATATTTTTATTTTAAGGTAACAAGTAGTTATAAAACAGATGCAGTTATTGCCCATGAAAAGACAGTAGTCCTGGTTATTTCCCTTAGAGTTAGTTCAATACTAATATGAGGAAAAGTTAAAAACTAACAGAATATAAAGAGTAGAGAGGCCAGACCAAGTAGAAATGGTCTTTTGCTTGTCTTAAGAGAAAATCTGTGTGGCTAGAGTCTCAAAACAGATGAACTCCGCTGTTTTAGAAGAAGAGAGAACAGAAGGGGAGGACCAGTAAATGTACAGTGGGAAAAACACCAACTTGAAAATAGTGAATCCAGGTGTTGTTCCCAGCTGTACCATTCATTGGCTATGTAGCTTTGGCAAATAACTTAGTAGTACAGGGTTATTTCTTGATAGGTCACAAGGAGAGGTTTAGGTGGAAGATGACTTCCCAGGGCCCAACAAGTTCATTTAATGTCTAAACAGAGACCTCATGTGGAAAGAGGAAGTAATTATAGTTCTCAAATTATCTTTACGAGATTACAGAATTATTGTTTATTTAACAAAATTAAGACACAAATAATACTTTATGAAACTTTCACCTGGGAATTTTTTGGAAACGTGAATTATAGTTCAGCTGAAGTTAAACTATTTTTTCTTTCAAATATTTTAAAAATTCATATTAATGTGTTTTAAAATTAATTTTGTGGCTGTGGGTATGGCTCAAGTTGTAGAGAACCTACCTAGTAAGCACGAGTCCTTGAGTTCAAAATTTAATTTTGTGTACATTGAGTCTCCAAAGTGAGAGGAGTTGTGATATTTCCATAGACATATCTTCTATAACTTTTTCTTGTGTATGTGTGTGTGAATGTGTTCCTTTCCTGGGGTTTAAACTTAATTCCTAGGCACCATTTGCTTTTTGCTCAAGGCTACTATTCTACCATTCAAGCCATAGCTCCACTTTGGGTTTTTTGGTGGTTAATTGAAGGTAAGAATCTCAAGGACTTTCCTGCCTAGGCTGGCTTTCAACATCAATCCTCAGATCTCAAGGCTCCTGACTTGCTACAATTACAAGTTTCAAGCCTGCTTACAACTTTTTATTATCCTCTCTTCCCCAGCCCCAATTTTAAAACTTCCTTACAGAATTTGTAACAGGGGTTTATATGTCCTTTGGTTTGTGCATAGGATCAACTTTAACCACGTTTTGTCCTCCTTGCCTTTTCCCTTTCCCTTCCTTCCTCCATCTGGTTCTCCACTCAGTAGTCTGCCTTTTATATTCATGTCTTGATTTATTCATGTATTTATTTTAGATCCCAATTTCATATATGAGAAAACTATATAGCATTTGTTCTTCTGAATCTGGCTTACTTCACTTAACCTAATAGTTTCAGATTCTATCAATTTTCCTGAAAATGACAATTCCATTCTTCATTCTGATGACTAGTACATTTTTGTGTAATATGTCACATTTTCTTTATCCATTCATCCATTGGTGAGCATGCAAGCAGGTTCCATAGCTTTTATTGTGAATAATGCTGCAATAAACACAGGTGTATTGTATGGTGATTTACTTTCCTTCAGATATACCCAGAATGGTATAGCTGGCTCATATGGCCGTTCTAATTATAATTTTTTAAGACATCTTATACTGATTTCCATACTTATTTCCATTTTCACTAGTAGTATTTAGGGGTTCCTTTGCCTGGGTCCTTGCCCACATTTGTTTTCTTGATGACAGTTATTCTCACTAGGGTTAGATCAAATCTCACTGTTAAAACAGTATAATGTGAGTCATTGGTTTCCTTTTAAGATTCAGTAGTGAAAGTGGAGACAAAGTGTGAAAAGGGCCTCAAGTTCCTCATGTCTTTTCATTCACAGCTTTTCATATTTCCCTATGGCTATGCTCATCAAAACACAGAACCTATTTCTCTGCTTCTTAAATATGAGGAAAGGAAGTGTTGATCTTGATCTGACCAGTGGGACATCAGCCAAAATCTAAAAAAAGTTAACTATAAAAAGGCAGTTGGGTCTGCCGCTACCACTGTGTGAATCGCCTGATGGACCAAAAAATAAGACCTTACAGAGGCATTAGCCTTGCAAAAAAGGGCTCCTAGAATCTTGTGTGTCTGCCGGCCTCAGCCAGCCACCAACTGACCACAGACATTGAGCAAGTCCAGATGAAACAACAAGAAAACATGGAGGTAAGGCTAGCCTCAAGTTTCTACTGCAATGCTGAGATAGTTTAAGGGTCACAAAGTAGCATTACATTTTAAATTGGAAGTTGCTTTATTATTCCAAATGAATTCTAATTCCCCAAAGGTTCAATGGAATGAAATGAAGGATATAGTTTCTCACAGAAACTCAGGTGTAAGTTACTGTTAGGCGTTCAGGAAAGCCTACAAACCTACAAGAGACAAAATATCCTATGTTTGAAATGAATAAAGTAGAAAATGGTTATTCTGATTACATTTACTGTATGTGGAGGGATTTCAATAGATCTGTAACAGTCTCAATTTGACTGTCAAGGCCTCTACTTCTTCCATGAGATAAAGTTAGGAGCTTATTCAGGTCTATCACCATTTGCTTAATTCTCCATTTATTATGGATCTAGTCTAGGCCGTCAACTAAAAAGCAATGAAACATTCCATTTCTCTGAAAAGAGCTCATGATGATTTGGTCTCTAGAAATACTGCCAGAAGAGGTGACTTGCAGCTATCTGAAAGCCCTGAATCTCCTGTGAGAGTCTCTTCTCTGAAAACACACTTCACCTTGCAGCGTTTCCACAGCCCCTGGAAGCTGCACCTCCACCCTGTCCTCTTCCTCTGCCTCCACTCCGACCTTCAGTTAGTGAGCTCCTGGCTGTCCTCCATGTTTCTGTTCTCATCTACAACACAGCATCCCCTGAACCAAGCCAGGGACCCCTGTCTTCTGTCATCCACTTGCCCATTACTTTCAACTCACTTTCTCTCTTGAATGTTCTGGCCTACTCACAGAGTTTCCCTACCTGACAAGTTCTCTGAGACCAAATTTCTTAATATTTTTGCTCATTATGGAGTCTCTGGGCCTCCTACAGTATCTGCAGAATAGAGGAGGGTGAGTGTCTAAGTAATGTAAGAGATGGTCAGTGATTCTTCAACTGCAGCCACATCAGAATCTCCTCCAGGACTCCACCCTGCAACTATCCAATTCCTCTGTGTGGGTTCAGAGTAATGAGAAAACCTGATGTCTTCCTTCAAGTTCTCAGATGTTGCTGATGCTGTTGACCCACAAAACATACCTTGAGAAGCACTGATGTACACTAATGGACAATTTGCAAGGACAACCAACTTTTCTTTGTTGTTTTCACTATAAAGTTCTTTTACTTCCAAAAGTAACAGTAAATTGAAATATCTAGTATAGATTCCTTTTTGCATCTGTATTTTTATTGTGGTAAAATATGCAAAATATAAAATCTATCAGTTCAATTTTCTTTTGATCAGACCTGGGTCTTGAACTCGGGGCCTGGTGCTGTACCTGAGTCTCATATTGTGCTCAAGGCTAGTGCTCTGCCATGTGAGCCACAGCACCACTTCCAGCTTTTCTGAGCAGTTTATTGGAGATAAGAGTCTCATAGGGACTTTCATGCCTGTTGAACCACAGTCCTCAGATATCAGCCTCCTGAGTAGCTAGGATTACAAGTGTGAGCCACAGCCACCCAGTTCACTTAAGTGATTTTTAAATAGACAATTCGACTAAATAAATTTACAATTCTGTGTTACCATGACTAGATTTTAGATTCTTTAGTAAATAGGTAGGTTTTGATTTCTTTATATTTTTTGCTGTTTTGACATGACAATATACCATGAACAGTGGCAGATAATATAAGCAATAAGATAGAGATTTGCCTGTAGTATGTTTTGTAAAGTTCCCAGTGCTATTATTATTTAACCAGCATTAAATGTATTACCTCCTGGGCTTCATGAGCTATTAACTGGTCCATTAACAACCTCCGCCGTCTTTTCTCTCTTTGCTCTCGAGCAAAAGCATCTTCTTCCAGGCGCTTCTGGATTTTTTTAATGTAGTCATCATCCGAGTAAGTATTTAACAAATCTGAAATTATCTGGTCTGTTGTATCTAAAAAAGTCTTGGAAGAACTAGAGACAAAAGTTTTTAGATTAAAAAAGTAATACGATCATATGTCTCTATTTGTGAATTTAGAAGACCTCTAAGAAAGGTCCCAAGTTCTTTGTTATTTCACTAATAAAAACATTGAAGCAAATACTAGATTTCCAGTATAAAACCCACAGCTTTATGTCATTTCTGCTCTTTCTCTGTGAGATTCTCTGCATAACCCCTTTAAAAGGTCTATCATGTTTTGTCTTTTTTTCCCTCAATGATCTTCAGTCTACATAGATATTCTAGAATTTCCTTCCTCATCTTTCTGTTGATTCTGGGGCCTCCTACTTCAAATTTATACTTACTTTGTGTGTTCATTAGGCAAGCTATTGATAACACACTTGTTCAGTACGGGACACAGGTTACCGTATACATGGTTGGTTCCATTCACTACCATTCTCCCTCTCCTATTAGAGCTCAAGAACTCCCTAATGAAGTTCTGGCTACCTACAGGAATTACTCAACCCTCCTGGTAAACTCAGAAAATGAAAGTTGACTTGTTTGTCATGACATGCCCAAAAATACAGCTGTAACCTGGCTTCTTAAACTTAAAGAATCAGGAAGAGCCTGGTGGTCTTCCCCAAAGAAAATAAACACATTAAATTTAATGAGACAGATAGAAGCATAGTATAGAATTTTCACTCACTCAATTTATCATTCAAAACAAAGATACAACTTTAAAATAGTAAAGAAAACATATGCAAAAAAGAAAAAAGATGAATTTTATGTACATAACTGTTTCATCACCAATTTTAATCCACATTCCTCTTTAAAAAATGCAATAGCATAAATTGTTCCATATGATTTCTTGCCAGGAAATGATTTTTATATTAGGAATAGTCATTGTTCTAATATTATGCATAATCAATATGCTTTATTTAATTTAATTCACAGAAACAAGGACATATTATTAAAGTATGTTGGGAACAATCATTACGATGTAGAAAGGTACTTGAATACAAGTACAGTTGACTAATGTTAAATGATGGGATAGTTGCCTATTTATAGTACAGATAGTATTGAATTATAGACCATAATTCGCAGGTCTGTTGCTTCCAGCTCAATTCTGAGCTCATAAGAAAAGTCATCTCTTTACTTTTTCTCTGTATATGTGGCTAGGATGCCTGGCAAAATGCTGATGTTTGCTAAATTTCAAATACTATGCTAAGAATCACTGTGCCAATGTAAAAATCAATCACTGAATTTCTGCTTATTTTATCAACAGGGTTCAATGCTCAGTGAAACTTTTTGGAGTTAGGCAACAAACTATGCAGCTGCCAAAATCACAGTCAGAGTTTAACCCTATCTACTTATAAAGGCTTAAGAAAATTAGTATTAGGAAAAATGTTAGTATTTATGAAAATGATATGGTAAGGCACTTATTTATTTATTATTAATTACTTATATGCAGTTCTAGAGTTTAAAACTCACATTTGCTAAGCAGGCATTCTGCAACTTGAGCCATGCCCTCAACCCTTTTACTTTAATTGATGAAAATTCCCAAAGTGAAAGATCTTGGAATAGCAGTTCTAAATAAAATGTTTCTAAATATTCAAAAGTGTTGCATAGAATAGAAAACAGTTTTAGAATTACCTTTCTTTTGCTTGAAGATCCTTTTTTATTAATGCCTCAAAGTTCTTAATTTCATTGGCCACATCCTTTAAAGAAAGTTCATCATCAGTTCTGTTTCCAAAATCCATTGGAAAATTTCATTCACCAGGCTCACCCAGGATTACAAAGTGACACACATTACTAATTCAAGGTAACCAGTAGCTAAGTCACTAAATTCTATATGCTGGAATCATTTGGTCATTCTAATTTATCACCTTGGACTAGGCTAACTTCCTAAAAGACAATAAAAATTGACTAACAGAAATCACTCAGTTCATGATTTGAATTAAGTGAGTCAAAGGGCATTTAATGAAAATGCAGATGATGAGCCAGGCAAGTTCTTTTGGATATAAATATTTCTGTAAGAAATTATTGTTTGAGTTGAAACAACTCAAACAATTCTCATGTTACATGAGATTACATTTCTTGTGTAATCTTATTTATACTATTAATTTTTTCCATGAAAATTAGCTTAGCTAATTTTACAATTCTTTACTAATGAGCTTCAATTATTTCAAAGAAATTGAAGGCTTAAATACTAAAATGGCTCACAAAATGCTTCTGTGTGTAACGTTTGCTTAGTATTATAGTGGAAGATACTTTGCATGTAGTTTTAAAGAAAGAAATGTGTATTAATTTCAAATGCAACAGATGTAGAAATCAGAATGATGCAACCATCTTTTTGCCAGTGCTGGAAACGTAGGAAAACGTGTCAGCTTTCTGGGTCTCAGCCTTCTTACTTACTTCAAACAAGTGAGTTCAAGCATTATTTGTGAGTTTAAGCTGATGTGGAACAACAAAAAGGTGAGACTAAGGACAAAGGGCGAACCAATGCAGCAGCGATACTCACAGGACAATATGTTGGAAATGAACTTTACACCTTAGAGGAGGTTGAGAGGGAGGGAAAGTGGGAGAGAAACGAGGAAAGGGGTAACAATGTTTGACAAGAAATGTACTAACCAGCTTACATATGTAACTGTAAACCCTTTGTACTTTACCTTGACAAAAAATTAAATTTAAAAAAAGATGATGGGGAGCACTAATCTACATCCCGACAAACAATATATGTTCACTAATTGACAGCTGTTAGTCCTCTTTTAGGTCACATAAGATAATATAGACCATGAGAAACTAACCCTAAAACACAATATTGCTCTCCTACAAATTGTAATCAAATTCCTATTGACGTGACTAATGATGTAGTCTAGAAAACATCATTACTGTAAGTATCTTATTTTTAACGTTAACAAGTTACGTAACATTTCTGGGATTGATAGTAAAATAGTACTACATGATGAAGAGGAATGGCACGCACATAGTATGTGGATCTTACCTGACCCTGGCTGTACCCAGGGCAGTAATTATCCAGGAGAGTATCACTCATCTTCAGCTACTTTATCAGCAATCATAGAATCATAAGCATACCAGTTGTGACTGATACAATCAATTTCAAAGTGTTTGACAAGCCTAGCTTAAAGCTACAGTCTGTCTGTTAACAACACTGTAAAATAGATTGAATATGGATTTGATGGGGAAATTATGATTAAGAAGTACCAAGGTCAGAGATCATTTGAAGAGAAAATAATAGTTTTGAAAAGTTTGTCTGTGATTTTTTGAAAGATCATTGTGTGTGTGTGTGTGTGTGCGTGCGTGTGTGTATGTGTGTGTGCATGCATGTGTGTGTGTGTGTGTGTGTGTGTGTGTGTGTGTGTGTGTGTAAGAGAGACAGAGAGACAGAGAGGCAGAGACAGAGGGAGTCTTCCTATATAGCCCAGGCTGGTCTCAAACTCAAAATCCTAGTGTTTCTGCCCCCTCCCTTCTGGGATTATCAACATGCTCCAACATGCCCATGTTTGAAGGACCATTCTTTAATTGAGATAAACATAATACAACAACAGTAAAGGATATTTTCCTTTACTAAGTGGCTTTTATCACTTACCGCTGCCTCTTTTTTCTTTTTCATCATTTTTTGGGTCTCAAGTGCTTTCACTGTACGATTTGCTGCAGGCTTAGGAATCTGTATGATAGCTGCTTGAATTTTGGCCATTATTTCATTTTGTCGTCTTCTGCTTAAGCGTTGCTGAGTATCCCATATACATTAGTTTAGTTATGTCATTGTTCAGCATAATAGTCAATGTAAGACATGTACAGATACATATATATTCAACTTGTCTGTGGGAAATTTCAGAACGTGGCAAGTAGGCATGGTACTAGGTATTACAGTTGTCTAATCAGGAAACACTTGTCAGTAGCATTCTTTGAAAAGTATCATAAAGCACAATTCTCAAATGATGCCTATTAAATGTATTTTCCTTCTGTGTACTGTTACTAATAGATAATGAAAGTGTTTCAAATACAATGAAAAGTACAATTGTTTCCCAGTCCCAACTTCATGACCTACCCAATCATGAGAAGAAAAAAACTAAAAATATTCTGTAGGGAAAATAACACCTAGAACACTGCTCTGAGTTGTGGAAGCCCCACAGAAATGAGGGCTTCCCTGAGCCATATAGGTTCATAAATTTAGAAATGACCTCAGACACAAAATTAACATTAAATTATCTGTCATTATTAAATCACCTCTTCAGTAGGTAAGTAGTTATTTTAATGAGGAGATAAAAGAATATAACTCAAAGAAAGCAAGACTAATATCAGATAAAATTATTTTAAATAAATTATTTATAAGGCAACATATGAAAGGACTCAGGAATTTACTGCTAAAGCATTATATTTTATAGAAATATATTAAGGTTATCACCTATATTCAATGATAAAAAATTTAATTCACTATTAAAACAGACATTGTTAACAATTTAATAGTCCTCGTTTCACTCTCTAAATGTAAAAATTTTCTTAATTATTATAGATACTAGGTTCTCTATTGTTATATTTACTTCCTATGGTCATTTTCAACAAAATTAATTTCTAAGTATTTAATGGCATCATATTTCCTTTTCTACAACTCTGTTTGGTGGTTTTCTGCATTCGATTTGATACGTTAAAGCTTGGAATGGCTGATTCCATATAAATGAGTCCGAACATTTGGTTCCAACATGGAATGCTAAAAGAAAGTGCAGTGCTTTTCTCTGGCAAATCATAATGGAATCAGAGCTTCTAGATCTGGCCTCTCACTGTTCCCTCCTTCTCTACAGGGAGTTGGCTATATTCAGGATGTATTGATTTCTTATTATCCTAAACACATAAATTTAAAAAGTGGTTTTGTAGCTCTACAGGAAAAATCAGCTCTGTTGCCTTTAGTTCACACATTCCATATGCCAAGCCACTTAAGATACTTTTTAAATTCTTTAATGATCCCATATATTATTTCCCTCTCATATCCTTAAAGGTACAGATCATTAAAGATTTTCAAAGGACTTGGAGAAGCAACAGGAGTCAGAGGAACAAGCAAGGACAAAGAAGCTAAAAGATATTCTTAAAGCGACAGTTTCAAAGGGCAACAAACAGAATTACCCTATAAGAGAGAAATGAGATGGGCAGAAAAAAATTGCAAAGAATAAAGAAGCATAGGGAGTATGCCAAGTATATCTCTCTTAGTGTGGACAATGGTTATGGATTTTTGAAAATTAGTATATCTAATAGCAAGCCATCATCCTCAAACAGCTGAAGCATACATTTCCATCAATGAAAGAGAGCAACTTGTCCTGACACTCTGGGGATTGACAGTTACTGTCCTCAGCCAAAAGTAGATGTACCAATAAGAAGCAAGGGTGAACATAAAGAGAAGGAGCAAAGGCAGGGAAAGGAAGGGTAGAGCAGGCAAGGCAAAGCCATGCATCAGGAAAATGCATATTGTGCTATATTACTTCTTATGCAATGTGTATCAATAGGCATACATTACAAATAGTATACTATATACTAACGAATTTCTGGAAAAAATTGTTCTATAAAACCTTTTTGAGTTTTAAACATCTTTGGTCTTCCTTGATTTTTTGAAATTTTTCAAATTCCTCAAAGTGCATTTGGTCAAGATCTTCATTCATCTGTTTAACTTTTTCTTGAAACCTGTATGTAACCCGCATCAGATTGAAATCAGTTTGGCGTGGTATCAGGTTTTTAAGTTTCTAAATGAAGAAAGCATTCAAAGATTCTGTTACTAGAGAATAAGCATACATGATAAACATACGTAAAATTTGTCTTCAAAATAAAATGTCTATGCGTTTCCACTGTTAGAAGGTCAAATTACTAAAACTGTATGCAAACTCATATCTTGAATATCAATCTAAGGCCAATAAAAACCAGAGCTGAATTCCTTCTCACCTAATAACAATGTCTGAGCGGTAACAAGGTTCGACAAAAAATGCACTCATTACTTTACTTATGTAACTGCAACCCCTCTGTACATCACCTTTACGACAAAATCAATGAATAAATATATGGAAAATGTTGGAGGGTCATCAGGTAGGATGAAAGTAAAAGGAGATGGTAATAAATAATAAATCCAATAGAAGAATTATAGAGATGTCAATATATGTATTTTACCAAGGGATTTCATTGAGATATTTACAGCATGAATATGTAGACATTGATAAAAAATACAAAATATATGTTATTATTGACATATATGTCACAAATATGGAATATATGCCATATACACTACACATGTCATATATATGTGCCACATATAGCATGTGTGACATACATGACACATATGACATGTGGTGAACGTAGCATATGTGGCATATGCAGCACACGGGTGACACGTGAGACGTGTGTAATGTGTGCCATGTGCACCACACATGACACGTGACATGTGTGACACATGTGACATGCATGGCACACATGGCACCCAAACAGGCATATGACCCATGTGCCATAAATGACATGCACGACACACGATACACATGACACATGCATGACACATGGCACATGTGACATACATGGCATGAGTGACACTTGTGATACATATGGCATGCATGACCCATGTGCCACATATGTAAAGTATGCTTTGTGTCACGTGTGTCATGTGTGATGCATATGACATCTACATGACATGCATGGCACGTACATGATCTGTTACATATATGTAACATAAGTGATGTGTTGTGCATGTGATTTGTGGCAATGTGCCACTGTGCCAGCATGTCATATATGGCACATGTGTTGCATTGTCACACGTGCTACAATACAGAGCAAATGTGTCATGTGTGCCATATATATCACATCTATCATATATATGACATGTATATTACAGGTATATGGCATATACATATATGTCAATAAAGAATAACATTTATTTTGTATTTTTGATCAATGTCTATTATATACATGTTGTAAATATTCCAATGAAATCCCTTTGTATAATTTCCCTATGCTAATACTATTTTTTTAAGGAAATTGCAAAAAGAAGCAACTGTGTTTTGGATCTCCAAATCCTTGGGAATTTTCTGCTTTGCTTTCTGTAATTACTATCTAGTTTTATACCATTGTTATTTTAGAGCATATTTATTTTGATTTTTATTGTTTTAATTTGCTAAAATGTGGTTTCGAGTGCAGAAATGATCCACAGTAATGGTTCCACTGAGTTTGATGATGATTTGTGTTCTGCTATTGTTTTGCAAGTGTTAAGTATTCAGTCTAAATATGCCTTCACTCATTTTCTACCTGCTGGCTCTTTCAATTACTAACTGGGATGTTAAAATTTCTATATTATAAGGAATATGTCTATTTCTTTGTGTAGTTCTTTTTTCTCATTTGATAGTTTACTAGGCACATGTGAATTAAAGTTGTTTATATCATCTTGCATATATATGTATACATATTATTAATTTTTATCTTGAAATGTCTCTAATTCATGATTATTTTTCTTGCTGTGAAGTATGATTTTTTGAAATTAATAAAGGCTCTCCAGCTCTGTTCTATATATAAAGAAAAGGAGTGGGGGGACAGAGTCAAGAATTCATGTAATACTATGAAGTTAAGAAAAGCAAGTGAGGGAATGGTTGAGTTGGGAGGGATGACTAAGAATGTGGAAAGGGATGACTATCAGTCAGATGTATATTGTATTCATAAATAGCTTTGTTAAATGGTAACTGCTTTGCGCAACTACTTAAACATAATTTAAAAACTAAAATTACCTACAGAAAAAATGAACAGTATTTATATCTCACAAAATACATTTTCACAAAATAACTTATAAAGAGTATCCCAATATGTAGAAGATAATAAAAGCATCCTGCTTCCTCCCATTATTCAATCACTGCCTAGCAAAACATCAAACATTAAAGCTTCCTAGGCTTGAGTTTCAGGTCTACTAGCTGCATACAACAATCTAGTAGCTGCCTAGCCCCTCTGTAGCCCAGTTTCCTCATCTGTAAAGTAGGAACAAATAAAACTTCACAATGTGCAGTTGTGAAGCTCTAGTAATATAATATGCACAAGCCACCCAGATCAGGGCTTGGTATATTACTTTGTACTATCAATAAACTTCAGTCATCATTAATACTCTATATACTGGCAATCTGCCTGTCCAGATTCAGCGTCTCTACTTCTTTAAACCCTCTTCTGCACAAACCATTGATTCCCTTTTACTCTTTTTTTCCCCTGAGGATCTCTTTCCATTTGGCACTTATATCATTTCTATCTCCTACTACTGACTTTATTTCTCAACTTACAAGTTGTCCTAGTTTCTATGTCCATCAAATATATAGTCTCATACTTCTGGCAAGCCTCAAGTATTGTTCATATTTTTTCATTTCCTTTTCCTCTGCATTCATTGATAGAATAATTTATGCCACCTTCTTCATCATTTCTACCTCCTCTTTAAACCACTGCAACATATAAAATTCTACAAAAACGTTTGTTTCTTCCTAATATATAGTCTAGAATTGTTCAGAACTTTCCCAAGTATTGTTCATTTGCAAGTGCTTGACAATGTAGAGATCTAATAAATATCTACTTAATGATTGACTCTGGAAGGTTGCCCTGGCTTTACACAGTATTGCACATTCTTTCCACTTGGTTATATATGAACTTCTTAAGGTTATTCAAAAGTGCAGTGTTCAAGTAGGTAGATACAGTCCTTCTTGGTTTATACAGTTGACAAAATAGAGTTTGAAAGTTTCTCAGGGACTGGCTCCAAGTTAACCAGCTTGTATGTGAAAGAGGAAGGATACAATTCTGTATTACTCAGCTGTAAGCCTAATGTAATTTCTAGAAACCAATTTGTGTAAATCTATTTAGCTACCAGGTCTATAAAGATGTCCATTAAGAATGTATCAGTCTGAAAGTGGAGATGTTGTCATATCCACCATGTCAATTCTACTTTAAAAATTGACTTAAAATTTTAATTATCCACATTTATATTTAGTACTTTTCATCAACACCAAAACATGGAAAAGTTAATGTACGTCAATCACTATAAGGAAGCAGAGCAGGAACTTGAAGAATTGTTAACTGAAAGTTATAATAATTAATCTAAACATACTAAGTATAATTGTCAACCCAGTGTACTAGATATATACACAGAGATGAAATACTAAAATCCTTGGAGTCATATGACAAAAAATGGTTACTCAACAATACCAATATCAGGAGACTTACAGGGAGAATTTATGTATGTCAGAAGGCTGAACAGCATAAGTAAAAAGAGAAGTTAGGGAAGAAACAATGAGAAGGCAGTAGGGAAGGAAGAGCAGGAGTATGTGACTGATATTCAAGGATACACTGTCAATTAATATGGACTTTACCTGGAAAGTATGAAGAATGTTAGGAGAGTGGACACTGTTTAGTGAAAAGCTTTGAAGGTCAATCCAAGTTAAAAACAGGATGTATTTAAAATAGAGATTAAGCCAAAGAATTTGGTGAATGTGGAATTTAGAGGAGATACACCTGGAAGGATTTTGCCACTATTAGTAATTCTGAAATTCAGGGAACCAATTAATAGATCAGGTAACCACATTAGCACAAAAAGTAACTGAGAATGAGGGCAGAATTTGAAAAGCTATGAAAATTGTGGAGAGGGAGAAAAGGCAACATTACAACTGCATAAATGAATTCAAAATCTTAAAACTAAGTTTGAAAAGAAATGTACTCATTACTTTACTTATGATACTATAACCCTTTTCTGTTCATCACCTTTACAATACAAAATAATTATCCTGCTTGAATGAAAAAAAAACTAAGTCTGGCTAGTAACATACATAGGAACATATTAACACAGTAAGATTGTTTTGAGAATATAACATTATTTCACTGTATCAAGTTTGTTGAGATGTTAGGCATCTTTATGTACCTACCTCTCGAAAAGCTTCGCTCTTCATGTTTTGAAGTCTTGAAGTTGTCTGAGGCTGCAAAGCTTGTATTTCTATGCCTGTCAGTCCACTTTTCTTTTTTCTCTGAAGAGCAATGTACAATTGATATAAAAGTTTGGTTGCTGCCCCAGGCTTCTCTGTGATGATGCTTTGGGCCACATTCTGATCAAACTGCACGCCCAAAAGGTGGAGTGTTGGCTCCAAGCGGGAAAAATTATTAAGTTTGGCAGTAGCTACCCTGGACATTAAAATAATTCATATAATTAGATGATAGTACTGAAAAAGCACAGAATGTTGTAAGTTTTACCATAATATAATATTATGAATTGTCCAATGTTCTTTTAAATGTACCATTCCTCTGTAAGACCACTCAGAATGAAAATACATTGAGAAATTTTTAAATTAGATATGTCTACCTGAACTTTGTTTATTTCTCTTGAATGGTTACATTCAATTCACTAATTTTATTCAATTATATGCTCGAAATTGAGAATTTTTAAAGGAAGTAAATACAAAAAGTAACTAAGTTCTTTCTTCCATATGGAAAATTTTAACTATAATTTTGAAAAATATTTACTCTAAAGACAAAATTTCAACTTAATGTCTATTTCTTTAAATGATATTATTGCTAGAATCCGAAGATATTTCAAATCCTTTGTTGAAATTTCTAGCAATGATTCTCGTAGGCATTGCTAAAATTACTTAACTAAAAATATTATTTATACAATAAAGTTATCATTATAAATTTAATATATAAATTATAAATCATTATAAATTAATATATCATTATATAGTTTGTATTACTACTTTAAAATAATAGACATTCTAACTAGAAGCTATATTTTATATTATTGCATATTTAGATGCCTTTTCTAAAAGAAATCCATTAATTTGTTCCTTCAGTTAACACTGTACTAAATACCAAGATGTACTAGGGTTTCAAAACTTAAAAAAATGAGTGAGTTGGCCAGGTGCCAGTGACTCACCCCTGTAATCCTAGCTACTCAGGAGGCTGAGATCTGAGGATCACGGTTCAAAGCCAGCCTGGGCAGGAAAGTGTGAGACTCTTATCTCCAATAAACCACTCAGAAAAATGGAAGTGGTGCTGTGGCTCAAGTGGTAGAGTGCTTGCTAGCCTTAAGCTGAAGAGCTGAGGGACAGCGCCCAGGCCCAGAGTTTAAGCCCCACAACCGACAAGAAGCAAGAAAGCAAGAAAGAAGTAAGTTATAGTTACAGGCCTTTAGCAGTGTAATACTGAGAAAGACAGATGTGTTACAAAGTAGTAATGAATGGAGATAAGGATTACAGTAGCAGTTTCAAATGATTTAAGGCTGTTAAGATATGAAGCTGATGACAAATGAAAAGCAAAGTATGTTAAATATATTTTCAATTCTCATGCCCCTTAATGAGAAAACTAGACACAAAATGTTTTTTTCCTTATCTTGTAGCATTCAGCAACATTTTTAAATGTAAAAAATTAATTGAATCCACTTCAATCTAAGTTGAAGTTCTATACACTTCCCACCAAAAATGTTCTCTCTCAAAACGGAGAATTTCAATTGCTTTGAGTGTCTTAGGAAACAGTCATTATGAGACCCTTAAGCCTCACCCTTTGCCAGTATTAGAGATGGGGGATTTGAGAGACACCTGTCAGAGCTTTGCTCTGGGTCGCATATAGTGCCACATGAGTTAGGGACAAACACTGGAGGCAAACATTGGCCATCTCCAAATTTTGTCAAGGCTTAGCCCTGTATTCAAGAAAATCAAAGAACATATTTATAGTCCCTCCTCTCATTCATATTACATGGCTTCCAGAATGAAATCTAATATAAAAATTAGGATTTTAAATGTTTTATATTGATTAGCCAAAGTATTCAAAAGTATTACATGACTTCTTTATATACATTCTTCTGAATATTCTAAATTTCCAGTCCAATCAATCAAGTTGTACTTGTAGAACATAACTGTGTAAACTGGTGGAAGCATATAACATTAAAGTATGTGCACAATTAGCATAACAAGATAAGCAATAGCTGTTTTTTTTATGAACACAGAAAAAAAGAACTACTGGGATTTCTCTGCTCTTGAGGCAGAGCATATGATGTCAATATTGTCTCTGAGGGAATGAGAAATATGTTCTGGGAAAAGACATCTTGCTCTCTACTTGTAGTGCTTATGTGCCAAGGGACTTCCTTCCCTCCTTGCTATCTGTCCAGAGAGCCACCAGAGCCCAGCTCAGAGAATACTTCTTGAAAGATAAGTAGGCTCACCTAACTTCCCAGAAACATTGTTTACTTTTCCTTTGAATGAATCTTCTCATTGCTCACTGTTTTCCGCTTAACTTTATTTATTTATTTAATGCCAGTCACAGGGCTTGCACTCAGGGCTTGGGTGCTGTTCCAGAGCTTTTTTTTTTGGTTCAAAATAGTGCTCTACCACTTGAGCCACAACTTCACTTCCAGCTTTTTGGTGATTAATTGGATATAAGAATCTCTGAGGCTTTCCTATTCATGCTGGCTTTGAACTACAATCCTCAAATCTCAGCCTTCTGAGGAGCTGGGATTACATTGTGTGAGCCACTGGTGATAGGCATGCTTTTATTAAAACCTAAAAATATTCTTCGGAAGAGAAGTATTTCTGAGTTAGATGAACTACTCTTAAATTGAGTTATTTCTAAGATGCATGACTTCAAGTCTTGCTAGCACATAGTTTTACTATTTTCAGATTAAAGAAATTAAAAGTATTACAAAAGTACCTTATAAACAGACTGACAACAAAGCATCTTTCCCCACCAAGCACACTATTATGAAGATCATAGCCATAGCTCTATTCATCCTTGCTTTATTTAAATAGTAGGATAATGCAAGACTTGAAGATGGATGATATTTGGGAGTCAGTTAAAGCAAGTCTCCTCCTTGTTTCATAAACTGCTATGCCTTTCAGTGGAAAAACAATAATAATAAAGAGATCAGAAACCTGGTTTAATCCAAGTCTCTATAAGCCACTCTATGCATGTGAGAATTCTTGAGAGTGCACAAAATTAAAGGGAGGAAATGGACATTATCTATCCTGGAATTCTTACACTTTGAAGGCTGCTCCTGCTTCTCCTGGTAGCAACAGCAGGGATATGGGGAGTTCAGGCCGAGGAGATAGCTGAGGCTCACTGTGATATTGCTTGTATTCCATCTCCTTAAGGGAGACACGTGATAGGAGCTGTCGGTTCCGAGTGTAATGATATCTAGCACCCTAGAAACTGAAGAAACTGGCTAGGATTCACACAAAAGGGGTTGGTATGATGCCTATTGTGTCATATGCTCCTAAACACATCTAACACATCTGGACTTGTGAAAGAATGATTCATCACTGCAATGGAAGCATTAGGGATTTTTTGCTTCAGCAATATTGCCACATAGGTGAGGTTCTGTGTATGCAAACACAACAAAGGAATATTTGAGTAGAAAGCACCAGGTTAAAATAAAATGTATTTGCTGTGGATCATCAAGAATAACAGAAGAAAGAATAACAAAGATCTGTGAGACAGCAAACATCCTAATATATAGCAGAATTCAGTGTATAATCTAATTATATACTACCCACAGAAGAATACACACTAGATTCAACATATCTTTGTAAAATCAAAATGCACATTATTCCTAAGAGGTTGAAAGTCAAACACCCATCAATTTATAGATGGATAAAAGAAATATGACATGCTATACCCATATAGCTGAAATAAGTAATTTGAAATAACGATAATATTAATGGACCTTAAAACCACTGAAAACATTAAGTGGAAAAAAACAGCACAAAATGTGATATATTTTCCTATTCCATTGATATAAACTTGTTAGAACATTCAAATTTGTAAACAGGAAGTAGGGTCACTTGAAGTAGATTAGATTCATTCAGACAGGAAATACATTAGGATGTAACAAGGAGCTCAGTAGTTAGTGGTGATGGTTGCTAATACATTTAATATATGAATGTACTTTAAAATGGTAAGCCATGTTCTAAGAATTATCTCATTATAGCTGCTAAAACACTATGCATTTTATTAGCTAAGGTCAATTTTATTTTTTTGAAACACAAAGAATACTCCTACTATAACAAGGTATACTATCCTATTTGAACTGTAAAAGAAGGAAGAATCATTTAACAAAAGAGGAAATAACTGTCTATCATTGCAGGAATATATGGAAGATATTGAAATGAATACTATCTGGAGATGAAGTCTGCAGCAACCATGTAACGTTCTCTCTTTTGTACTCCTGGAACAATAAATATTCAAAGCTTAAGGAAATGACTTTTTTGAAATAAGAAAATCTCACTAACCTGCTCTCTGAAAATTCTGAAAAATCATCTTGAAGTTCAAACTTGTTCAGGACTTCTCCAATAAGGTAACCATTGGAAAATGCCTTTGCAAATGACTTGGGATCTAAGTTTTAAAATATTGGGATAGAAAAGTGAATGTAATGTTGCAATATAATGTTTACATACAGTCAAACTTCATCATTTAGCTTAACTCAAAATAGTGTGCTTCTTGAAATATATTTAAATAAACAGAGAAGAAAATTTAAATTAACAGTAGACGGACTGATCCCAAAGATAAATCAATAGCTGATAAACTTTTGAAAGAAGAGGAAAATAATTTCTGATCAAAATAAAGGAAAATACAGCCAATATAATTTATAAATAACCTCAGATGCAAAAACAAAGGTTTTTAAAAATAAAAATCACATTCTAATACTTAACTTTTCCTACAGCCAATGAAGGCAACACATTTTAGATTGACAATTAAAATGAAATCTAACTTTTTAAATGATGATTTAATTTTAAACCTGCAAAGCAATGGAATGTTTGCATTTGCTAAAATCATTTTGTCTTTTAATACAAACCCTATTGAACATCTTCATATTCAAGTGCTTGCTTCATGTTTCTGATTTTCACAATTCATTTCTTTGTCCTTTTCAGTGATGAAAATTCAATTTGGAACCAGTAACTCTGTATCATAATGTTGGTCCTCTGACCATTACTAGCTATTTGATGTTGGGTAAATTGCTTAATCTTTCTGAGTTTCTGCCTCTTTTGTCTCTAGAATAGAGGTAACCAGATCTATATTTTTCAGGGTTTTTTCAACTTTTGGTTAGTGTATTTTCACTGATCCATATAAATATAAACCTACACCTTCATGGAATTAACATGATGTATATAGCATAATATTCAAGTTCTGTTAAATGTCTCTGTATCCTCAAACATCTCATAATCCTTTTTTTCTAGTGTATTTCTTATTGTCATTTTTTTGTTGGTGGTACCAAGGTTGAACTGAAAGTCTCAGCCTTGGTAGGCTAATACTGTGCCACTATATCCACATTTCAATCCCCTTTCCACTTTTTGAAATGTATGTTGGTTTTTATAATTTGTAGTCATCATACTGCACACTTACACTTGCTCCTGCCTCCCTGTAACTAAGTAATGGTTGACCAAGCCGCCACCATCCTGCCCTTCTTACTCTGTAGTCTCTGATAACCACCATTCCATTCTAGCTTCTAGGAGATAATTTTCCTTTCTATGCCTGGTTTATGTCATGTAACATAATGATCTCCAGTACCAGCTATGTTGTAGTTGTTACGGACTAAAGATTTCATCCTTTTGGTTGATGTTGAATAGAATTCCATTGTTAAAAATTACAGGTATTATATGAGAATCACTGGCACCATATCTACTACATACATAGGGTGGAGCACAAAATGATAAGTACATTTAAAGTTTCAAAATAATATGCTCTTTTTGAAGAAAAAATGTCCTTGGTTTTGGGCCACTTGTAAAATATTTTATGAAATGAAAGGTGTAGAATTATACAGCACTTAAGTACAATATATAAAAACGGATAGACAAATAAACATTATCATATGCCAAAGCTATCAGAGTTCAAGTGATTTCACAATCTTCCATAAATCTTGAACATGCTTCCATTCTCCCTTTTAAATTTTTTTATTATTGTAGTTGCACAAAAGGATTACCACTCAACATGCAATTTGAAAAATGGAATGTATTTTGATTGATATTGTCCCTTTCACCATTTTCTCCCATTTCTCCCATACACACCCTTTATTCTTTTTCAACAGCACTCAAAACACTAGACATGATTGCAGTATCACATAGCTATACCAGATCCTTCAGCTTTTTCTAGCTGACTAATGAAGTGGTAATATGAAGATTATGAAGAATAGCTTTGTTCATGATTTGTAGAGTTTGTGCTTGGTTGTGGTTGCAGTGTTTTGAGGTGTGATGCCCTATAGAGGCCACTGAAGAGATATTTTCTCAGCAGACCCCACATCAGCATAATCAAAAGGTTCTTTGGTGTATGGATTATCAGTCCATATTTTTTTCTGATAGAACTCAATTCTATGAAAAGTATCCCAAGTCTTCATTGATGCAATACATAAAAAGTTGGAAAAGATGTGAGCTATTCTCTTTGACTCAACTCACTTGAGGTGAGCCTCAGAACTGACTAGCTCTGAAATCTAACAATAAGGTTATGTAAGCTTGAATGTACAATAGAAAACAAGTTATGAAGCCTTTAGGATACAAAATGCTTTCAGAAAACTAAAAATAATTTTTTGCAAACACTTAGAAACTGAAAGATTCTAACCCTGTAAATTTATGTTCAGCCATGATTTATAGAAGGGTATATACTTATTCTTACTGAAATATGAGAGTTAGGAGAGCTTGTTCTCATGCAGATCCATTTATCACAATTTTAAAACTACTCAGGGCATGATGATCTCATTCTATAAGATGGTGTACTTTTAAAAGTAGAGGGTTTGATGTCCTTCCTTATAGGTTTTATCTGAGTTTGTAAAACTGTGTCATAATCTGAAACATGGATGTTATTCTTGAGAAAAATATACGTAAAGAACTGGTACCTCTGCTTTACCAGAAAGAAGTGAACCATTACTTCACCAGTGCTACCTTCTCCTTCCTTCTCCAAACCCCTTGCTAACTCGGGGTGCCGCCACTATCTTCAGTGTGCCACCTAGTTTGCCTAGGCTCTACCTTCTACCTCTTCTGTGTGCCCTTACCTCTCTTTTATTTTCTTCAGATCTGTTTTCCCTAGGCCTGCCTTATTCTCTTAGTTTTCTAATGAAAGGTTCCACCTAGACCGGGATCATTACATTATCATGTAGCTTTCTTCCTGGCCATAGGCCTTTAGGCATTTGGTCTCCTTTCTGGTCATTTCTGGTGTATAGTATCCTGGTCAGGAATTGTTGCTATGTTAGCCTCAGGTCATCTCCTCCACTTCCTGCCTTCCTCTAGAGCTTGAACTCTGACCTGCTTTTTAGGTTGAAATCTGGCTCATGAATAACTGTGGGATAAATTAATTCGATCTCATCCTCATCAATGAAATAGATAAATGACCTGTAACAAACTATTTGCTAAAGAAGATCACTTCCAAAATAAAATTGTAATGTACCTCCTTTGAAATGGTATAGCATATTAAAAGAACAATTCTGATATGAGTAAAATAGAAAGGCTTGTACTATAAAAGTCAACTAAGGACAGAAAATACATGTATTTTACTGTCAGGATTGTTTGCAATAAATAAGCAAGTATGACAAACGACAAAAAACAAAAAAGGGGAAATTTAATGAAGGACAAGAAACACAAAAGCATATATTCAAGAAGGCATGGGAAAAGATGAAGAAAAAGTAGCTTTAGAAACAAAGAATGAGAAGCCTAAAATGAAGAGGGAGGAAAAGGAAGAGGATAATGGGGGAAGAAAAGAAAAAAGATTTTTTAAAGTTTTGGTTTACTGAGTTTTCTTCTATAAGTTAAGTCTATACTAACAGAAGAAGTCATGATTTGAATCCAGACAGTGAATAATGAATAAGAAATCAATAGATGACAGCAGCCCAGTAGTAATCTTCATTGTCCCCAAGTGATTTTCAACTGGGATTTCAGTGGTATAACAACAACTCAGTCCCACCTCTAATCGTTGAAGCCACATATCTGGGTGGGTCCCATCAGTGAAGTTTCTTTTTGATAAAATCTTTGATAGGCCTTTGTGATTAGACTGTAAGGCTCAGACAGCAGGTGAAATGGTTCATGTACTTCTCCAATAACATGGCATCAAGCAGAAGGCCCTGAAAGCCATCTAGTAGTAGTAATAATGAATAGAATGCAAGCCCTGGAAAAAAGGTTCTATTTAACTCCTCACTCACATATAAGTCCCCTAACCATGGGAAATTTAGAAACTAGAGTTCCTCATTTATAAAAGTGGGAGAGTGGTAGACTCTAACTCATAAGAGGTGTTTAGAGAATTAAGTGATACATTATATGTATAATGTTTAGCCTAATACTTGGCCCATTCAATGACACTTATATTATTACTGTCATTTTCTAATTTAAGCATATAGGTAGCATTTATTTCTTACATAATCTGCACATTCAGTAATAGATGTTAAATGACTATAACACATACACACTTGCTAAAACAGCATCTTAGTATTGAGAAAGCAAATGTGTGACAGTTTCCTGAAACTTAGGTACAGGCCCACACTTAGGGCCAGATAAGATATAGCACTGCTGCAGGTAAGCACCTGGAATCAGTTGATTTCTATGGCAAAACAGTAAAGTATTCACCTTTAAGAGGGTAGATAAAGATTAAATGCCTCCTAGTGTTTATAGTCATGTTGTATTGCCAGATTAATAAAGGGCAAAGTGTGAATGCTCAGAGCTGTCTGGGTTTTGGAATTACAGATGAGGTACTTTATGCTCATGACCTTTGCTCTGCTTTCATTGGAGGAGCAAAAACCTAGTCTGCATTACAAGAAAATTTACTTTTATTTCAGAGAAAGAAAAGCAACTTTTTGTTGTTGTTGTTGTTGTTCATGGGTCTTGAACTCTGGGCCTGGCTACTGTCCCTCAGCTCTTCAGCTCAAGGCAAGCACTCTACCGCTTGAGCCACAGCGCCACTCCCGGTTTTCTAGTGGTTTATTGGAGATAAGAGTCCATAGACTTTCCTGCCCCTGCTGGCTTTGAACCGTGATCCTCAGATCTCGGCCTCCTGAGTAGCTAGGATTACAGGCGTGAGCCACCAGCGCTCCACTTTAGAAAAGCAACTTTTGATGGCTGGGAAGTGGTGTGGCTTACAAAGCTTTGGCATTCCTAGAGCTGGCCAGGCACGCACAGGCAGGTCTTGGCATTCTCCTGTTGAACCTAACCATTTCACAGAACCCCAATATCAGACAAGGCTACTTGGTAGCCCTGATAGATCAAAATAGAAACAAAATGCTTCTATTCATCTGTTTGAACTTAGAAAAAAATAAAAAATTGACCAAAACACGAAAGTGGCCCCCAATCCTCCTATTCTCACTAATATGGGTGATTGTCAGTGCTTTATTAACACCAGGTTATTCTGCCTTGCTTCGTTCT